AAGGCAAAGATTATCAGTGACATTATATGATTTTTAAAAATACATTAATTTCAGCATTGTATGAGAGATAAATGGAAAGTTGACTTTGACAATGCCAAAGGTCTTAATAAATAAATGTCAGAGAAGAAATGTCAACAATTAAAGAAAGACAATAAAACAAACAAAAAAAGCTAGAGAGCCCCCTCTTTCCGGGGTGACACACTCCCCCGACCCCCCGACCCCATGGGATCGGACCTCACGTACCACCGCGCAGGAGATGCTGGCCCCCACCCCCGCCCTGAGACCACGGTGCTGAGGCCCCAGCCGCCTGCTCGCCTCGCGGGGCAGACGGACAGGATTTCCCTTTTGCTTGGAGTCTCTCTGAGGTGGCTTTTGAAGGGAGAGGAAGATACAGGATAGAGAGAACATCTGAAAAAATAACTAGCAGAGGAAAAAAGAACAAATGTGACCGTTTACGTAAAATGGATCATCACCATGGGAAAAAAAGAGTAAGTGCAGAACAGAAAAGCATGCGAGAGGCCAACACACGGGAACTGGAGAAGCCACGCTTCCGTCCCGGTTAAGGAAACATGGGAGTCCAGTCCGGCGAGAGGAGGGGCTGGGCACGCCCTGGGCGGCTGCGGGAGACCCACAGCACCACCCTCTGGGCCGGCGCCTGAGCTGGCGGCATGGCTGGGCCCGCCCAATGCCCCCGCCTGGGCAGCCTCTTCTGGGACAACCTCAGGGCCTGGCACAGCCCCGTCTTCCTCTGAAGACAGAGGAGACTGAAAACATGCTGTCTTCAAGCTGTAAAAGAAAACCTGAGAAGCTTAGGCCCAAAGGAGCAAGGAATTCCTCCCTACCACTGGCCTAAAAGAATAAGAAATTAGATTTTCTTCAAAAAAAATACTAAGCATTGGAAACAAGACACTTATTTATTCAAGTATGTGTTTATGTCCCATGCATTCGTTTTTAATCATTCTTACACATGTCAATTTAGAAAACGTCGCATCCGCTCGCAGCGGAGGCTGAAATGGGACAGAGGGTCCTGGCGCAGCCGGGACGAGAACGGGCCGCAGGCTGGGGAGGGCGCGAGTCGCTCCCCCCTGGTTTTCCACGGACGTACCACGGCTCTGAGCGCGTCCCCCAGGACCTTCCACCTCGTCTTTCTGTCCAAGCAGAGAAAATGATATTGCCTTTCTGATCTCACAGAGCCGCCCATGTATATTAAAAAATGCCACGTAAAATTCAAATTCAGTTGGCAAACGGCAAGATTCAGTTTAGTGTTGGTTCCCACTAGGTATACGCTGGTTTCCTAAATGGAAACATTAATTAATTTGAAGGTTAAAAATCCCTTGGCGTTCGCTGCAGCTCCCTGGATCTCTGCGGCCTTGTTAACAATAGGCTTTACATTCAATGGGAAACAGCATCTTCTATTTGGGACAGTTCTGCTGGAAGCAATTAAAGAACCTGTGCTTAGAAATTATGCAAGAAAGGTAGAAATGTAAAAGGACTTTTACTTTGAAGTCACTGATAGTAAATAATCTGATCCTTTACTAGAAGTCACTAAAATCTGTAAGAAAGTGGCACGAGGATGGAAAATCTTAGAAGAAGATACATATTTCATTTTGTTCTTGTTTTATTGTCAGGGGATGTGGAAGATATGAAGTAGCATTAAGAACAAAGAAATACTGTTCCTCTCTAGAGGATCAAATTGCTATATAGGTTAAAATTTTCATAAAATATTTATAGTTATCATAAATGACCTCTCAAGCTGACATTTATAATGGTGATTAATTAAAAAGGCCCCTCCATGCTAAGTGGATGTTTCTCTTCATCCCAATTTAATTAAAAGTTACATCCTGCTGCCGAGAACTTCGAATGCCACGTGTCTCCTGCAGACAGAGGGAAATCGAGGGCGTGTTAACGTTTCAGAGAGAGGTGTGACCCGGGACTGCAGACGCCTGTCTCGGCTGCCTTGTATCTCCTTTTCAAATCAGGGAGATTTCATTACAAGACTTTACAGAAATACCAAGCCAATACAACACATCAGGATTAAATTTAAGTTAATACTTTGTGAACAAAGAAGATACAGACGTGAATGTCCAAGTTCAGCACTTAGGAGGCATCTAACCCAGTAAGGAAGACAGACTTTTAAACAACTGACTGTCCTTGAAAAGCCACCTGAAATCGAGCTTGGACGAGGGCTCCGGGTTCCCACAGATGGAACCCGGGACGAGCGAGGCGAACGCGGCACTGGCCCAGCTGGACCGGGGCCGGCCCTCGCGCTGGCGGCTGAGCGCATGGCGTGGCCCGCGCAGTGAGCGCCGCGGACCCCGACGGCCGGCCCCGCGGGGACGTGGGCAGGGGCTGCGCGTCCCCGCGTGCGCCGCCCGGACCCCGCCCGGCGTGAGGCTCGTGCTCCCCGAAGGAACGACGAGCCGCGCACGGGGCGGCGCAGAGAAAGCGCGGGGACGGCGCTGGACTGCAGGTGGAGCCCAGAAAAGCTCAAGACCACGCCGGTCGGGATGTGTTCTAACAGTGAAGCTCCGGCGGCGCGTCCACGGACTGGAGGCGAGTCCGCGGACGGGCCGCGCTGCCAGCGCGAGGGCGGCCCGGAAGGGCGTGGACGCGGGGCTGCTCGGAGCAGCTGCCAGGCCCGGACCGGGACTGGGGCGGGCGGGGGAGGACAGGGGGCGTCCCAGGTGACTCTGGAAGGTGCAAACCGAGTACGTGGGAGAACGGGAAGCAAAGGAGAAGAGGCACATCGCCGGTCTGCGTGGAGAAAAAGTGAGTTCGGTGTCAGGCACATTGAACTTGAGGTGTTGCCTGAAAATCCAAATGGGAAAGTTGAACGTAAGGGAAGTCGGCGTCGGGGTTCAGAGGTGAGCCTGGGTGCATGCCGCCCGACCGCCTACTGTGCGCCATCAGCAGAGCGGGGGCAGCTACGGGGCGCCGCCCCGGGTGGCGGGCCAGGCCCCGGGAAACTCCCCGACGCCCGCTTAGGAGAAAAGCAGCCCTGGAGGAGGTTGGGGTGGGATGAGGGGGCCCTGCCGGAGGCGGGCCCGGGGGAGGGAGGCGGAAAAGCTGCGAACACCCCCGAGAGTCCGTCCTCATGCTGTAGTTCCCCTCAGAGCACAGATAAAAGAAAAACCAAAGGAGTGTCCAGTCGGAATCAATCACGTCAAAAAGCACTGGAACGCACACAAATGTCACAAGCGCCAAGGAACCCCTGCAGTGTGCAAGGAGCAGGAAGCAGCGGGTGCTTCCACCCGCCATGGGACTCTAACGTGGACCGCCACGCGCGACCCTCCTCCAGCCACTCGCGCGGAAGCAGGGATCTTAAAGAAAAGAAGTTTGGGGGAAAAATACCAACAGGAACTTAGCAGTAGAGTGAGTGTTCCTGAAGGATATTTAAATATAACCCAGCTCCGCCCTGAAAGCAGCCAGCGTCACCCCGGGCTAAGAGCTAAGAGCGCACCACACAAAGGTGTCTGATCGCGATGCTTTCCTTGGAGGCCCCCGCCACGCGAGCATGGACGTCCCCACGGGAGCGGCCTCGCGTAAGCCAGGAAGGAGCAGAGGTGACAGAGAAGCTGGACTCGGGCTGGCACCCCGCGTGGGGGTCGTCGACCCCGTGGGACCTGCTGCTCTCTCCGGGAGACAGTGGCAGAAGGGAGCGGGGCGGAGGACACCTGCGTGGTGCTGGGGAATGACCTGCAGGTTGGAACTGGGGTCCGAGTCGTAAAAGGTCTTCTAAATCTTAGGGATGTGGCTGTTCCTGGGGACTTGAGTCTGTCGGCAGGCAGACAGTGAGGAGTCTGGGTCCTGAGCGGCAGCAGTGACTGAAGCAGGGGTTGGAGTTCTGGAAAGACATCCCTGTGGGCCCCGGGACTGGGCCCCGGGACTGGGCGCCGGGGCAGCGATTAAGGCCTCTGGGAGCGGCAGTGAAAACGCATGGAAATGAGAAGGCAGGGATAAATCCAAGCAAACAGAATCCATTAAATATCGCAGGAAACTCACCCCTGTTTTGCAGATTTTAAGACATTACAATAGGAAAATAAGAGAAACTAAGGAGCCCTGTTACTTCATTGGGTTTTCTGCTACAGAAAAAGCCTATGTTTTTCTTACGTTAATCAGCATCATACAGTATCATCTCTTCTTAGGGGAGAAATAATCATTTGGGATGTTTACAATATATAATGTGTTTCAGGGACATTCTCAGATCACATGATTACGGTAGGTTGGATTTATCTTCCTCCTAAGGTTTCATGAGGATTTAGCAGAAACAGTGAAATCATAGCTCTCTCTTGTAATGTATTGTATAGTCAAGTCCAAAGATATAAGGAGTACTTATAAATAACTCCTATAGGAAGAGCAAGTCAATTTCAAGTAATAATTGAGATTAACCACAAATAGTAATGAAAAACCACACTTTTAAACAAAATTAATAACTTAAGAAATTAGTTTCTGTTCAATTGGTGAAAATGACATTTTAACACTTGTATATGCTGCTACCTTTTTAAAAGACGACAGATGCTGAGGTTTTAAAATTAGCTTGGTTCTGGTGCAGGCTGAGGAGGAGAAGGGCTACTGTGTTAATCGAGCCTTCTGCTTAACTCTACAGGGGACAAACGCCGAGTTGGTGGAGGGCGCATTCCAGGGAAGTCGACGAAAAAACGTTCATCAACTCCACTCCATTTTAGCCCGGGGCCTTCTCCCCCGGCCCCTGCCATGTGTCAGGCAGCTAAAGTTACACTTAGATGTGTAAGCTTTGTTGTTATTTTAGAGATAATCCAGGAAGCAAAACAAAGCCAAAAATCCCTTCTGCATTTTTAACATGAAATGCTTTCATCTTCAGTGAAGTGTATACTTTTTTCTGTTTTAAGATCTTGATGTATTGTCTCCTCTTTTGTGGTACGTTTGAAAGTTTCCAAAATGAGAAGTAAAAACAGCAACAAAGAACAATGATTTTTGTATATATTTCCAACACACTGTTCATCCTTTTAAACAATTCTTACCAGTTTCTGTTTCTGAAGCTCTTCCCTAAGAACTCTATCTTCTGGTAAAACATCACATAACAAAAAATAATTGTCCTGTTCTTCTGTGGAGAGATTAGAAAAATAAATGAGAAACAAATTATCATTTTTTCCAGGATTTATTCCTTAAAAAAGTTACCTATCTATCTATCTAGAGCTCTCCTCTGGTATATAGGTCTCTTTTCGCTTTATTGAAGTTAGGCAATATAAACACAGCCATTTAATTTTATCATGAAAGTGAGAGAGTTCTAATTTAAGAAAGTGAGATTATTGCTTTGAATTTTGGGGTTGTAGGGAAAAGATGGTAGCCAGGATGTACACTTACCAAGTGGGGCTGTGGAGTTGATTCTTATCACGCTACAAAAATCTGTAATGGGTTGCTCAGTGAACCTTTTCCGCCAATATAAAATGTACCTTGGGGCAAAAAAAAGGATGATGATAAGACTCAATACAGTGCATTCTTTAGAATGATAAATTTTATAGTAACATTTAATTATCCCAAAGCAACAAATCAAAGGTTGAGTAAACACTGCTAGAAAATTTATAAATAGAAAGGCAGTAGAGCATTGTAGAAATATGAAATATTTAATAAATGAAATTACCCTGGAAAGGCAGGGAAATGATTAAACTTTGCTACCCCCAAATTCAGGACAGACATATGGGAAAGTTAAAATGAATTATTTTATGTGACAATGAAATTTTTCTGAAATCACATCTAAGTTTATGTAAACTTAAAATGTACATATTTTCCAATAAATTGAAAGTTGGGTGGTTATCTTGTCCATTAAAATAAGAGATCATAAAAATAATGAAATGAGAAGTCAGCCTAAATCCAATGTCTATATAGCAAGAGAAAAGAAGTTCCAAGAAAATTCCACATGTGTCTGATAAGAGGCAAGCTTAGCCTTTGGAAAAAGTCAAGTTTTAATTCTCTGCGTAACGCCCAGACCTGCATATCTGGTGGAAGAGGGACAAAGATGATGGGATTCGATAAGCCGTCCATCTTTCCATTTATCTACCAAGATTTATGTTGGCGATTACCATCGCGTTTCCCAAATGGCACCAGGAGAATGCGGCCCGCTTTGCAGGGAGAAAGAAAATGGAAAGGCTGACTCTGTAGTCGGCAATGTCAACCGATGGCCGCCGCTGCCCACTCCACACCAATAGGAACCCGCGATTTGGGAGGCAGTGTAGGGAGAAACTGCGTTCAGCACCAACAGCTCGGCTGTGAAGAGGCTCAGGCGAGGGGGCCTCGACGTTAGGGAGGCGTTCCGATCCGGTGTGGCAGCTGCGCAGGGGACACACAGTCTTCGGCAGGAACTGAACGGGCGCTCCACCGAGACAGAGGGAAGGCTGGCCCCGTCCCTGACTGGTCCATTTCTGCGCAGAGGAGGACTCCGAATTCTCCCAGTTGGATTGGTCCAAATAGCACTGTTCTAATTGGTCGAAATGAAGCTGCTCTGATTGGCTGGTGGAGATGCTAACGAGCACATAGCTGGTCAGCACGGACTGGATGGGGAGAGAAAGCCTCAGCCCCATTGGTTGAAATAGGATTCCAGGAGCTCCTTTACAGGGCTGCTCAGGGGGCAGCGGCCCAGGGCAGGCTCCTCCCGGCAGCACCGTGTGAGCAAGAGGCCCTGCCTAGCGATGGCTGCCTGGCTCTGTTTTTAAATTCAAGCCCAGTCAGCCACCGGGAGCCCTTCTTAACAGGTACATTCTTCCTCGGGGTCAACAACAGGTGATCAGGCTATGCATTCGATGAATTAAAAAAAGAAACTAGGACCTGGGAAACTACGAACCAAAACCTGTGATAGAGATGAAAACTTGCTGAAACAGATGAAGGGTGCAGAAAGAGTAGGAATCTGGACATTTCCAATGACCTGATATAGTACCTAGTGGTGTTTTGTACACAGTAGGTCCACAATACATATTTTAAAGAGGTAGCACTGGAAGGTTCCTGTAAGTTTCTCTAAGCAGCCTGCAACTCCCAATATTTTGTTTCCTTTTTATTCTTTCCTCCCTTTTTCTTAACATTAATTTTCAAATCCCATGGTATTCTACAGAAAGGGCTCACATGTTAGAAGAACGTGCTGGGCTGGGAGAGAGGTCTCAGAGAGCGAGCCGTGACAGGAGCGGATATAAAATATAAATGATGACAACACTGAGCATAGAAAATGCCAGGAAATGAGGTTAAACAGTACGGTATAAAGACAGAGCCGTGTGGCTGGATTCTTTCTTCCCGTGTCCAACCCTGCTCCAACCTGTTCAGGTGCGTAAAGGGAGAACGTGTCCCCTACAGAACAGGGCTAGAGCTTGTCTTAGGGACCTGAAAACGGCACAGCTCAGGCGCCCGCTCCGCCTCACGCCAGAGCCGTTGCACAGGTGCACGGTGACTCCATGGCAAGCTCGTACCAGACGTAGCAGGAGCAGAAGGCCAGTGCATACCTGACCCATCAAAGTTCGCAGAGGAAAAGCGCCTCTGAGCGGCGGAAACACCGTTTCCTCGGCCGCCCGGCCTGCTTCAGTGCCCTCCTCTGCTCAGCATCCGACACAGCCACTCTCTTCCTCCTCTCTTCCCTCCCCGCCCCAACAGGAAGAGAGAGGGAAAAAAGGGAGAAAGAAGAGGCAAGAGAAGACTTCAGAGACTAAAACTGACATTCCAGCCGCGTTTCTCATGCTCCCTCTGTGCGTTTTCTATAGCAGGGCGGTGACAGGGACGAAGAACACAGGAGACCCCAATCAGCGATGTTGGGAGTGGAAGGTGGATTGCTCTTCCAAACGGAACCTCGGGGACATCTGTTTTCAGAACTCATCAGATTCATACAGCAGAGCCAGGGGCCGTGGTAACAGACTTAACAGGAGGGCCCGGCCTGAGCGCCGGTCCGCGGCGGGCCATCGGGCGACGGCGTCGGGGAAAAGCTGAGACAGCGGTCAGCCCCTCGTAGCAGTCATGCCACTGTGGCCTGCAGTGTGTGTAAGGCAGTAGTAAGCCCCTGAATACACAGGCTGCTAACCTTTAAACAACATTCACAGGCTTAGCAATGTGTCTATGAGAAACTATGCGACCAATGGCCAGGTAAGAGCGGATACTAGTGACCGGTCTTGTCCTTTGAATTGTCAGTGAGTTATTTGGTAATGGGGGGTCAATGCAATAAGAGACCCTTGTGTGCACAGATCTGGGGCTAGAAAAAGCCCTGACTTTTCAATGGATACGTGAAGTATTTTTTTCTCTTAAAGACCAGGGGGGATAGTTCTTGACAGCACAAAACTGAACTACAGAAAGGAAAGTCTGAAGGATGAGGGAAGGCCTTCCCTTTCCGACAGGAGCCCTTGGTCTGCGCGGGCCCTGGCCTCCTGCCTCCGTGTGGAGGGGTGACTGGGGCTGCGGATTTGAAACGGCCTGACTAGGCAAGAGGTGCCAAGAAGTGAGCGCCCGACGGAGGGGACGAAGTCCCGATTCCGGCCGCCTGCACTCGGGCGCTGCCTCCCAGGCCTCCACGCTCGCCCATGGCCTCCCAGGGTTCTGAACCGGAGGCTCACGCGGTGCCCAAGTCACTTCCAGGTGGCAGGCACTGGGAAGCGATCACTAACCTCACTGACATAAAATGACAGGCAGGTGCCGCCCCGCAGAGCTCATCCGCCCTCCTCAGCTGGTTTGGGAGGGTGCCCCGAGGAAGGAGGGGGAGGAGGACTCCAGCCTTCACGCCGGTCAGCTTTTTCTCTGCTCCAGGAGCAGGGAGTGGTGGGTTTTGGAAGTGATGCTTTTTGGGTGCCATGTCTAGGAACACCTCTGAGGTGCTGTGAGGTAGCTTCTGAGGGAAGGAGGGTGGGGCAGGTTATAGGTCCTGCACAAAGGTGTCATTTGAATGTTTCTCTCCTGGCCAAATGTTGGGTGACAGCAACATCAGAGGAAAAAACCGTGTTACAAAAGCAAAATATAGCCATAAGTTACCATACAACTAAAATATAGAAAATTATTGCATTTTATTATACTTTACTATACAAGTAGATCTGAACTGTGATATGCATTTGACCTAAGTCTAAATTTAAAATGCATCCTAGTTAAACACCTACCAGTACTTTTTAAGTTTATAATTAGAATGAAGAGGTGTCAATATATACATTTCCCTGTGGTTGGTAGGAGCACTCAGAGAAACTGAAGTCAACTGAAGGATGCCTCAAGATGCCAGGTCTTCAATTCCTGCTTCCTGCGGCATTTCCCCCACCCCTGACACACACTTTTAAACATTAAGGAATCACGTAGCACGTCTGCATTTCTTTCTACTTCTGTAGCTTATTTAAAACAATTGCAGCCACTCAATATAGAAAGGCAGCCAAGAGTTACTATGTCGTATGAACTCTTTATTTGGATGAGTTAACAAAGCATTTCATACTTTATTAAAAAGCTATAAAATTATTAGGTCATCAGCAAATATGTTTTATCTTTTGAAAAAACTTCAATCATGTTTCACAAAACTGTCTTACAAAAAAAATCCTTGTAATAATATCTTGCCTACCCAGCCCCCCGACTGGTGTGTTCACTGACAGCGGCATAAAGATTTGAGATATGTTGTTAATTAAGTAGCATGGAATGAGAGACTTTAATATAGAAAGGGCCAAGACTCAAGGAGTTAACGTTGATCTCCTGGAAAAATTTTATCTACTGAGTAAAACTAGCAAACAGCTCAGTATAAATAACTGTGTAAAATGGCTCAAAGGAAAGAATTTTTATTTTTGTTTTGTCTTATTCCCTTTCCCTGAGAACTGTTATTTTGTTCCAATAAATAAAACGTCAAATATATTTAACATGAATACTTATTGCTTGTTATGAAGAACAAGGTAAGTCCATCTCTTATCTATCACTTATCATTGATCATCTTGATTACTTATTCTGCTCAGAAGCAACAATTGCTGAGAAGCTGTGAGTGAGAATATATATGATTTGTATGCAAGTGTGTATGTATTTATATGAATTATTCAACTTGTAAGGAAGTTCTGAGAAAATGAATTCAGGCCAATTGAACCCTCACTGTTCCCTCCATCCCCGCCCTTCCCCACCGGAACTGCTTTTCTGAGGTTAGGAAAACATCAGATAACAGTGAAAAGATTCCAAATTAACTCCTATCACACAGTCAATGCTTGCATTGTTTTGGAGAGGAATTTTTCATTTCCCTAAATAGTGGGAGGGTATTGCCCAAAGGAGACTGCATATATTAAGCATTTATTTATTTTTAAAATTATTTATTTATTTATTTTTAAAGAGAGGGGAAGCGGGGGAGAAAGAGAGGGAGAGAAACATCCATGTGTGGCTGCCTCTTGCGCACCCCCTGCTGGGGACCTGTCCTGCAACTCAGGTATGTGCCCTGATTGGGAATCGAACTGGCAACCCTTTGGTCTGCAGGCCGGTGCTCAAACCACTGAACCACACCACTCAGGGCTAAAAGGTACTTAAAAGGAACAGAGTTTACTCACATACATTCCTGGTCAATTTAAATGATCACATATCTACTTCCTGAGAGTAAAAATATTACTTAGGAGGACAGTTGACAAGGAGAATTTAGGTTTCCAAATTTAAAGTACATGTTAACTACACTTTATTTATAAAACCCATCAGAAATGCATCTTTTTCTTTTTGATTAAAGTGCCCACTTTATTATATAAGTGCCTTTTCAGGGTAATGGATCCCAGCATTTAATTATTGACTCCAAAGCCCCGAGTAGTAGGAAAAAAGATTTTTTTTCTGCCCACCTATGAATGTGATTAACACAATAGAGCAGGTGCTATACGCGCCCTGTTTGAAGTAACAGTAGACAGTCTGTAAGGGCCAGTGTTACCCTGCTTTACGGATGAGGAAACATGCTTGCGGTGGCCAGGGCGCTTGCTAAGTCACCAAGTCTGCATTCAACGCTAGGCCTGCTGGCTCCGAGGCCCACCCCAGCGACACCGTCTGCTGCTTTGGGAAGCCCACCAGAGGAAGGCGGCAGCTCGCTAGGCATGGTGCAGCCTGGGGGATAGGGAATTTAGATGCAGGGGTATGACGATGCCTGGGCTCCTCTGTTTTGCAGGGAATAAGGGCAGAATATCTCAAAACGGGAACCTTGTCAGATAAATCAATATGTGTGCTTGCAGTAACTATGCAGAGCCAGTAGCTACCACGCTGTAGCTGCTAAGGAAAATGCTTATCAAGTTCCAACTAAGGACAGGACAGGACAGGACGCAACTACTCCGCCGCAGCTGCTGAGGAGAAGGCGTTTCTCTGCGAACGTCACCTCCAGGAATGGGAACGGGGAACCCAGAAACACCTGCCCGCCTCACCTGTCTGCTGGTGTGGCTCGTTCTAAGCCAGGAGCTCGGGAGTTGGAGGGTAGCTCCCTCTGGGCCCTGGTGGGTCCTACACACGCCCAGTGTTGGTGATTCCTTAACCAGCCCCTCCACCTGCTCGTCTTCCTCACCCTCCTCCCTTAGGGCCCGAGGCATCAGCCCCAGCAGCTTTTACTCTCCAGCCCTCGCGGCCTGCGAACGGCCTGGTTTCCTTTCTGGTTTTCAACCTCATCACAACGCGTAAGCTGAGAGTTCTTCAGAAAACACCCTTCTGGCTTCAAAGGTGCCTGTTGCCAAACACTGCCCTTTGATGGCCTTTTACTAAGTCTACGCTGGACTTTCTGGAAGGACTTATCAGCTAGAGAATGTCTATGGCCTCAAATATAAATAAATATACAAATATAATGTTAAATATATAAATATATAAATACATAATATATATTTATTAAGTATTTATATATTTATAAATAAATATATATTTATTAAGTATTTATTAAATTTATATACACATTGAAAAATATATATTTTATATAAGTATATGTAAGTTTATATATTTATTATATTTATTAAGTATATATTAAGTATAATATATGTTAAATATATAAGTATATATGATATATATTTTTATATATTAAGTTTATATACACTTATATGAAATATATATTTTATATAAGTATATATACTTATATTTATTAAGTATATATTAAGTATAATATATTATATTTATAAAATATAAAAATATATTTTTTGTAAGTATATAGAAATAAATATTTACACGTATATATAAAAATCAGTTTGGTAGAGATCAACCACATCAACAATCTTGTAGAATGTGGCAAAGGGAATATTACCCACTCTTTGGAAAACTGATCCGTTTCCAGAATTTGTAGGACTGTGACATCCTCAGATGCAACTTACACACTCAAGAAGACAAAGGCGTGCAAAGATTTTTTTTTTAAGTCTAAGGAGAAACCTATAAAAGAAATTTTTGTAATTGTAGAGGAATAATTTTATGTGTACGTTATGCCTTTCCTCCAAGGAATGACACATTTAACTCCTTTATTAACACAAACAATGTTTACCTTTGGAAGTCGGCAACCAGCTTGATATCAGCTATGACCATCTTGTGCTCGATGATCATGTGCTTCAGAAGCTGGTCTTGCTCAGCTGCAGGAAAATGTTCCTCACAGAAAATACAAGGCACAGATGGAGACCCTGCTAACTCGGCGGAGCCACCTGGACTCTCTGGCAGGGACAGGGGCTCCAGGATGCAATCCTTCCTGTCTGGGGGGGACAAAAAGAAGAAAACACAGAAGAGCTGGAGCCAACTCTGTACAAAGATGATGTCTCACCTCCTGCAATAAAAGGATCCTGAAGACATTTAAGTATCTTCACAAAGGAAAAATGCACAGTGGCCGGAAAGTAGGCGACTGCAGGACCTTTTTAAACAACTCCCGCAGCCCAGAGGCGGGGAGCCCTGCAAACCAGCTCCCGCCCCGTCTGCCGGCTGAAGGGGGCACCGCGTGGGCCGCGGCGGCGGTCCGAACCTCCACGGACGCCGGCCAATGGCGGCAGCTCCGGGGCTCCTGGGGGAGGCCGCACACGCCGGGCCAAGGTCCGAAGGCCCCTCTGTGACCTACGGCCGAGAGTCACCACACGACAGGGAGTAAAGGGAACGCACTGAGGCTACAGGGGACGCCAGGACAGTCTTCTCAGCGGTTCCCCGTTGTGCCTGCAAAGTCTTAACTGTTTCCGACTGTTTGTCATGTGCAAAGAAGGAGGGAGCTCTCACATTGGGTGACACAGCGCAGGCTGGCTGGGTGGCCCAGCTGGCAATTTTCACTGTTGATTTATGTCTACCATTTGCTTATTACACAGTTAGGTATCATAATCCAGGTTCTTATGAAGAGAGTGCTGAAAGCTCAATTACTAGGCATACAAGGTCTGTCCAGAAAGTATCCAGCATGTAATATGAAAAATAGAGACATTTACTGAAGAAGATACAAGAGACATTGTACATAGGACAGTGATGCCCAGTCCCCTTCAAAGCAGGCACCTTGGGACCTCACACAGTTCTCCTAATCACCATCGGCTGCCCCATCATATTTTCCCAAATCTTATTGATGATCTGAAATCTATTTCCTTTCAAAGGTGATTTTTGTTTTGGGAAAAGCCAGAAGTCGCAGGCTCTGCTTATCTCAGTTCCATAAAATAATTTAATACCGGAAGAAGTAAAAACAGGGCATACATAAAAATAGGGAGAATATTTAAAATATACAAGCACTTTAGAAGCACTATTAAAAAAGTTGGTGTGTTACCAATTATTTATTACAATAGGCAGTGAAATCAAGTTCTGGAACTCTACAGTTCTTTGGTGGTAGGTTAAATTCTGCAGGAACTTAAACCCACAAGTGAAAACATAGGATGGGGGAAAGAGACATAAGCAATGTACTCATGAAACTCCACAATGATATTTTACATTCACTAGAGCAGGCCAACAGCAGGCAGCATGTTCTAAACAAAGGGACCGTTAGGAAGCGTCACCTGCCATCCAGGAATTAACAAGGACCGTGTTATCTGGCCTTTCCCTCTCATTTGACTGAGCTGCCAGCAAATTGATGTTGCTGGCCTGCAGAAACCAGACAATGGATGAACAGGCATCTCTAACAGCAAGAACTCACACTACTAGGTTTTTGCTCTTTGTAAATCACCAGCAAAATGCTTTAGGGGACTTTCTCAATTAATTCTTACTACCTTATTCGGTGATTACTAATAGAACCTCCCTCTTCCAGATGAGAGAACTGAGAATTAGAAAAGTTAAATAATTTTACAAAATCACAGCACTAGGAAGTGGCCCAAACCCACGAAGCGGAGCCTACTTCTACTTGCTCCCTGATTCTGCCCCCGCCCCGCCCCGGGGGCCCTCCTGTGAGTCCGGCCCACCCCACCTCTCCATGCCCAGCAGCGGCGATACCTCAGTTGTAATGAGTTATTTATATTAGGTCCCCGCCACGAGGGGCGTCTCTGAACTCCTCGAGGTTGAGGACTGAGTCTTACATATTTTCGGATCTCTGAGGCAGCAACATGCAAGAAACGTTGATGGCCCAGATGCGCTTGCCGCTGCAGTCGCACCTTTAACTCGGTTTCTAGGAAAGTCCTACTTCAGGGGTCGCCGGAGGCTGAATTTAGGAGAATTCCTTCTGCCCACTATGACTCCAGCCAGACGGTCAGTGCTGCGGGGCTTGGCGTGACAGCCCCCACCGCGGTAATTACTGTGATGTACAAATTACATGGCTTCTAGGATAACAGTAAATATTGACTGGAACAAAAGTGTGTTATCCTTAATGAGGGATTTACTTTTTTCTTTTCCATTTTCATGTTATCCTTCAGTAACCAAAAAACCTACGTTGTCTGGCACGCAGCGTAGTCATACCGCCCCGTCAGAGATTGCTTCTACGCGGCAGCGTGGTTCTTCAGCATGCGCTTTACTTCAGGGCAGCGCTCTCCAAGTCTGGGCGAACTTCAGCACCTGGAGAGCTTTTCGGACGTCCTGGTGTCAAGGCCTGCCTGTAGACTGAGGAGATGCAAGACCAAAAGGGGCCCCTGGGCTGCCGCCTGCGGGCCAATGACGGTCACGCGGGGACCGCGGGGCATCCTGAGCACACAGGCGCTGGTGGGGATCTGGAACTCTCGGAACGTCCACAACTGAGGTGACAAGGCCGTGCGGCCAAGCCTCCTTGGTGATCTGCTCTGTCCTAAAGGGAGCCCCCAAATGCTTCGCAGGAGGTCAGCAGGCTGGTCCACCAGGTGGTTTGCCCCCAGCTGCCTCTGGGAGGGCCATGCCTGCACCTTACCGCCCTGTGAAGACGGGTGCACCCGGCACAAGCCTTGGCTGCAGGGGCCCGAAACTCTAAAAGGCGAAGGAAGAAAACACATCCAGCTTCTCCCAGCAAAGAGAGAAGCACCGTGGAAATCCCGCTTTGGCCGCAGCTCTGCTCACACATTTGTTACTTATTAACGACAAATTATTCGCTCTAGTTCTCACTTGAACAGCAGCTCCATCAAGCGAACTGTAAAGAACACCATCCCGGGAGAGTCGAGCTGTTGAGGAGGCTCTATGATGGTTGTGAGCAATTTTACTGACTCCGGGCAGGGTCTCCAAAGGGTCCAGTTATCACTTCAGGGCAGTGCTTCGGTTCAACATGCACAGAACCCCCCGGTCGGAAGGCAGATCCGAGGGCAGGATGGGTGGCGGCGGGGAGCCGCGCCCGTCCCTGGCTCCTGACCTGTCTCCAGCTGCTCTGGGCCCTCTGGGGTCGGCTGGCAGAGCCCCTGCCCTGAGCGACCGGAGGCAGCCCACACAGAAGGCCTCCTTCCTGCGAGGCAGGGAGCTTGGGAGACGTGGGACACGGGCTGGCCCGAGACGGGCTGCGACCCGGATCCTGCGCGGCTTGCCCTCCTCCCAGCTCTCGGCTGCCGCCAGGGTCAGACCCTCCTCCAGCCGCCTCTGCGTTTGCCCTCTGCCAGTGTCTTCCTGAGACACCGCTCGCACACCAAACCCTGCCCTGGCTGGTGCTTCTCGGCTGCCCAGCGGGCAGAGCACCTGCCATTCCACAGGCCCGAGGCCCCAGCCCGAGGCCCCAGCACAGCTGCGCCTGGGGAGAAAGGGTCTGTCTAGGGAACAGACTGACCATGAACTCCTGATTCCCGCGGGCCAACCCAGGCAACCCTCGACTTGCGCAGACAAGTAGGTGAAGGCCGCTCGCGTTTGAAGGAACAAGAAGGCCTTGAGATTCTTGAACCCGTAAGTCAAATGGGAGAAGGAAAGCCCATGGGAACAAAGAACGCGTGAGGGACTGTCCCCATTCGCCCTGGGAAGTGCAGAATGCACCCCCCCATCACCGCCCCTTTAAGGCGTGTCCACGTTGGCTCTGCACAGTATCACCAGTGAAATGCTGAAAACGAAACTCCAGCAGTAATTTGGTGCTTCCATCCACCCAGACCACAGTGGTTTATTGGCTGCTCTCCGCACGCTCCGATCCCCTAATTAATTGATAACCATCTTAAAAATGGGAACATCGAGGCTGGCAGGGTGTTTTGGGTTGTTTTTACTGTTTCATTTGGAAAATGATATAAACAAACACCTAGTTTTCAAAGTAAAGATTTTCTTTACATTTATTCTTTATTTATATTAGTGCAATTTATTTGACCATTGCTTTCTTAAGTATTTTCTCAAGCTTGGGTAATACCTTCAAGCCTGTTCTCTAAGCTTTCGATTTGTGAGACATTGACTATCTTTCCACAGGAATCCTGGTCCATCTCATTGATTATGTGTTGATTTTATCCTGATAATTAAACTCCAGGAATGTAACTTTATTTCTAAATTCTTGAGTGTATTTGTCTCTTACACTATAAAATGGCCTTTTCCTTCCTAAACAAGTCATTTCTTGATTTCTAAGAGTAGGTCCTATACAGATGCATTTGGAAAATGGAAAAGACTGGATCTGGTTTTTTTAACCACAATCTCCAAAGCTCAGAGTAAGAAAATAAGATCCTCATTTAACTTGTTGGTAGGAATATAAATTGGTATAGCCACTATGGGGACAGAATGGAGATTCCTAAAAAAATTAAAAATAGAACTAGCCTATTATCCAGCCATCCCACTTCTGGGTATTTATCCAAGAAAACGTGAAAGGTTTCTGTACAGCTCTGTGCATGCCCATGTTCACCAAAGCATTGCTCACAGTCAAGAGGTGGACACACCCTACGTGTTTATTGATGGATAAAGAAAATCTGGTAGATGCCCTGCTGGTATGGTTCAGTGGATTGAGTGCCCGCCTGCGAACCAAAGGGTCGCTGGTTCGAGCCTGTCAGGGCACAGGCCTGGGTTGTGGGCCAGGTCCCCAACAGGGGCGCTCGAGAGGCAACCACACATGGATGTTTCTCTCTTCCTCCCTTCCCCTCTCTAAAACTAAATAAAGCCTTAAAAAGAGAAAATCTGGTACAGATAGACAATGAAATACTGATCAGCCTTAAAAAAGAAATTTGGTCATGCAACAACATGGACCCCAGAGGGCAGCTGGACGACCCCGGAGGGCAGCGTGGGCGACCCCGGAGGGCAGCGTGCCGAGTGAAATACGCCAGCCTCGGAGGGGCCCCTGATACGAGGTGTCCGAAAGTGGCCTGACCCGCAGACGCAGAGCGCGGAGCTGGCTGCCGGGGCTGGGGAAGGGAAGCGGGAGTCCGTGCTCACCGAGGCCGGCGTTCGGCAGGCCCCGGAGAGC